GCCCCTCCTCCCTCAGACTCAGGGGTCCAGGCCCCCAGCCCTTCATCCCTCAGACCCAGGAGTCCTGGCCCCCAGCCCCTCCTCCCTCAGACCCAGGAGTCCAGGCCCCAGGCCCCTCCCCCCTCAGACCCGGGAGTCCAGATCTCAACCCCCTCCTCCCTCAGACCCAGGAGTCCTGACCCGCAGCCCCTCCTCCCAGCCCAACCCCCATTTTCCCCTTGTCCTCCTAAGCCACCCCTAACAATGGGGCTCAGTGAGCCTCAGGCCCCCTGCCTCTGGCTTCTAGGGGGAAGACCCCAGGCTGTGAGGTCTTGGGAGACTTGGGCCACCTGGGGCTGCCCTTGCAGCCTGGGTTACTAAGTGGAGGGGTTCCCTGGCAGGAAGGTCTCCCAGGCCCTACCCCTCAAGGTCCCCTGGTTTGCAGGGAGGAGATGCCTTAGACCGTCACCGCCACTTCTTTCTGCCCAAGTTGCTAAGGAGGCTCTTTTTCATGCCTAGGCCCCCCACCCCCACCCCATGGCCCCTTCCACCTGGTTGCTAAGGAAGCGGCTTCTTAACAACCAGACATGACCAGGCCAGTGTGACCCCATCTTTCTTCTTCCCCACTGTCAAGGGGGCTCCCTAGCAACAGAACTTAGAACCTTGAAAGCTGGGTGGGCAGGTGGGCGGGGCCCAGCTGGTTGCTGGGTGATGGACTTCAAGGTCTGTTCCCACAGAGGCCCCAGGGGTCTGGGGAGGCAACATGGTGGGCTCTGGGGTCCCAGCTTTGAGCCTCTTCCTGCTGATGCAGGGCTCAGTAGGTGAGGGGCTGAAGACGGGGTCAGAGTGCTGAGCAGGGAGCCTCCTCAGCCCCCGCACAGCAGCCCCCAACACCAACCATTTTCCTTCACAGATGGGAACGGAATCCAGGGATTCTTCTATCCATGGAGTGAGCGGTGGATGAAACCCGGGTCCCCCGAGAACAGGGAGCCAGCCTAGACTCTTGGGTTTAAAGGGAGGAGGGTCTGGGGCCTGATTCCTGGGCCTGAGGGATGAAGGGCTGGGGGCCTGGACCCTTGGGTCTGAGGGAGGAGGGGCTGGGGGCCTGGACCCCTGAGTCTGAGGGAGGAGGGGCTGGGGGTCAGGACCCCTGGGTCTGAGGGAGGAGGGGCTGGGGGCCAGGACTCCTGGACCTGAGAGATGAAGGGCTGGGGGCCTGGACCCCTGGGTCTGAGGGAGGAGGGGCTGGGGGCCAGGACTCCTGGGTCTGAGGGATGAAGGGCTGGGGGCCTGGACCCCTGGGTCTGAGGGAGGAGGGGCTGGGGCCTGGACCCCTGAGTCTGAGGGAGGAGGGGCTGGGGGTCAGGACCCCTGGGTCTGAGGGAGGAGGGGCTGGGGGCTGGGGCCTGGGGCCTGCACAGAGCAAGCGCTGGCAGACAGTCCCAGAGCCTGCCTCTGGGACCCTGGCATTCTGAGGCTTGCGGGTCAGACTCTGTGGCATGGCTGACACGTGTGGTTGGTCCCAAGGCTGTGAGGGAGATGTGTGGGACCGGGAGAGCTGTGGGGGCCAGGCGGCCATTGAAAACCCCAACCTCTGCCTGCGTCTGCGATGCTGCTACCGTGACGGGGTCTGCTACCACCAGCGCCCAGATGGTGAGTGCCCGGAAGCCAGGGGCCCAGGGGCTGGCAGCGAGACTCCTGGGCCTCAAAGCTGCCTCCTCTGTCCAGAGACTATGCGGAGGAAGCACATGTGGGCTCTGGGCTGGACGTGTGGAGGCCTCCTCTTCCTGATTTCCAGCATCTGCCTATTCTGGCAAGTGGCGTTGGGCCTGGGGGGTGCGCCCCCAGCGGGGCAGGTGGATGCCCAAAGCTGAGTGTCTGTCCTCCCCACCAGGTGGGCCAAGCGCCGGGACATGCTGCACTTTCCAGGGTTCTTAAAGGGCAAATGTGACCTGTCGAGGACTGTGTCTCTGTTGTCCAAGGACCGGGGGAATCTGAGCGACAAAAAGGTGTCCATGGGGAGCGTGCCGGCCTCCCTTCCCATGGACATGTCAGGGGCCACCGAAGGGGAAGGGATGACAGAAGGGGGTGAGGACACGGAAGGAGGGGAGGATGAAGATTAGGGGCACTCCGGGCGGGACCCCTCAATACAGATCTAGCATATATCTGTGGTGTCTTTGCTAAGAATCATGGCAGCAGGAAACGGATGAGCTCTGGGGCAGGGAGTGAGTGTGTGTGCGTGTGTGCTCGAGTGTGTGCGTGATCCAATGTGTGTGATCGCGCATGTGCGTGTATGATCACGTGTATGTGATGGAGCGTGTGGATGCTCGAGGGTGTGCGTGATCCGGTGTGTGTGATGGTGCATGTGCGTGTATGATCGGCTGTGTGTGATGGAGTGTGTGCGTGCTCGAGTGTGTGCATGCTCAAGCGTGTGTGATCACCCGTGTGCGTGTATGATCCCGTGTGTGTGATGGAATGTGTGCATGCTCAAGTGGGTGTGATCGTGCGTGTGATCGCATTCGCGTGTGTGATGGAGTGTTGTGTGATCATGTGTGTGATCACATGTGTGTGCATGATCGTGGGAGGTCTGGGCTGAGGGGGGTCTGGAAGGAGGGGGTGGTGGGTAAGTGGGGGGCAGCCTGGGCCGACGGTGCAGGGCTGAGGGCCGCCCGAACTGGGCTGGGGTGGCATCCTGCCGCTGTGGGAACCTGGTCCCAGGTCTCCTGCGGAAGCATCATGGACCGACAGCCTCTGCCTGCCGCCTACCCTTGGGATCCTGTCCCCAAGCATGAGCCTGGCTCCCCTTCGATGCCCGAGCGCGGGAGGGGCCCTGCTGGACCTGGGCTCTCTCCAGTGGACAACTTTACTCTGACTCTCCACCGGCCAGGCGGAGATTCTCCTGGAAGTGCGTACAGTTCAAGACTCATCCTGCCCAGGCCTCCCCCCTACCTCAGGTATCACACACGCACCAACCACCCTCCATACGTGCTTCCTGCCAATAAATATTTTGCAAGTCTAATTTGTCCCTCTGTCGGCTGCTCAGAGGACCTCCCAAACCACCAGAGAGGGCTGGGCTGAGGGAGGGGAGGTCTGTGCTCAAGGTCCCGGCCCCACTGTCCCGTCGCCCTCTGTGGGGGGCCAGTGTGAAGCTGGCTCCGACGTTCCCAAGGGCATGGGTGGCTCCTCTGTGGCCCGACCCCAGGGCTGTCCCTCTCCCAGACAGACACACAGTGCTAGGAGGCAGAGCCATTTATCCGGGGGACAGTAGGGGAGGACAGGTAGGCATCCTGGCGGCCAAATGATGTTGGGCGCAGCTGCACGTCCGGTCCAGTCCCAACAGGTGGGGCCATGGGTTCGTCTGCAGGAGGAAGGGAGGGGTTAGTGGCTGTTCGGACCCCTCCCGGTATCCACGCGTTCCCTAGGCCCACCGCCTACCGCCCAGCGGCCCGAGGGTGCAGGGGAAGGGAGCCCGGTTTCCTGCCTTACCCCTCCTACATCGGCTCACACACCTGCTCCCTCTAGGCCCCCTTTGCTGTGGCACCTGTCGGCCTTGAACTCACCAGAACCCAGTGGTGCAAGGCAGAGACTGAGCGCCAGGAGAGTCGGTGAGGAGAGAGAGAGACGTGTAGAGGGAAAGATGGGCACGGAGACCGAGATAAAGAGACACAGGAGACAGGGAGAGAGACAGAGACTCAGGGACAGAGGGAAAGAGAGACTGAGACAGAGAAAGAAAAAAAAAAGGGGGTAAATAAAGAACGGTAGGGGCTCTGTCTGCCCACTCAACGGATTTGGGTTCCAGAGGGAGAAGGGAGAGAGCAGAGCCAGACTCTTCAGATCCCTGTGTTATAATTCAAGTTCCCTGTCCTTCACGTGCTGGAAACACTTCACCCCGCCCACCAGGGAGTCCTGTGTTTGAACAGGCCTGTCTTCCTTCTAACGGGGGCCTCCACTGCAGTCAGCTTGGCCCACGTTTCTGGCACACAGGTGGCTCCAGCCAGAGACCCACCCAGCTGTATTAGACTTTGGGGCAATCCTCAAAAGGATTGTCAGGGGTAATTTTAACCACTGGTGAGTATTTCTGCATTATATGCCAAATTTTGTGTTAGCGGATGCTTCAGCTATGCAAACATCCCTTTTTTTCTTTCTTTCTTTTTTAAAGTAGGCTCCATGCCCAACATGGAGCCCAAAGCAGGGTTTGAAGTCATAACCCTGAGGCTAAGTCCTGAGCTGAGATCAAGAGTCAGACTACTAACCGACTGAGCCACCCAGGTGCCTCACATACATCTTTGCTTAAACTAGTCTCCTCTTCTGAACTACAGAGCACAGCAGATGATGGGAGTGACTACTTTCTCAATTCTCACAAAGAAGGGTATATAACTGGTATCATTTTGAATGCATAGGAGAAAAGTTAATTCCTCACATATGAAGAAGGTTTAAGGGCATCAGGATTTGATTCTTTCATGGAACCCCATTTGAGAAAGTGATTCAGTCACTCACCCATTCATTGTTCTACCTATCCGTCCATCCATCAGCCCAACCGTCCATTCTCTCATCTATCTCCCTACCCATCTGCCCAAACTATCCATCCAACCGTCCATTCACCCATCTACCAATTCATCAGTCTAACCATATCCATCCATCTACCCACACATCCATCAGCCAACCCATCCATCCATCCAACAATCCATTCATTCATTCAGCCACACATCCATCAGCCAATCCATCCATCCGTCCACCAACCCTCCCACCCACCCATCTATTCACATATCCATCCATCCATCCGTCCATCCACCTCCCCGATCTTCAGCCTCTGATTTCCCGAGTTTACTTTTTGCTAGGCCCTGCTAAGAATAAAGACACCATAGACACAACCTTACCATCAAGATGCTGCCTGTCCATTGGGAGAGAGGTACCAGCACACAGATACAAGAAAGATATAGGTGATAACAAGGTAACTCAGACAATATGACGACCCAGAGAAAGGCAGCAACACTGAGCTGGACCTTAACGAACACGTGGGAACTCTTCTGTGTGGAGGACACACAGGAAGGGCGTTCCTGCTATGGGGAGTGCATGAACAGAGGCCAAGTGACGTCTGGCCACGAGACAGCCTGGCTGTCCATGTCCTGAGAGGTCCCCTCGTAACTGCAAAGAAGGCAGGAGATGTGGGGCCCACATGCAGTGAGTTGCCGGGACGTCATCAGAGGGCCACAGGGAGCCATAGCAGGCGATTGAGCGTATCTGGAGGATGTGTGTTTAGGAAAGGGGGTAGAAGGTAGAGAGAGAGAAGGGAAGGAATGAGCAGCAGAGCCTTCCCTGCATCTCACACTCCTCCTGGTGCTCTTACTCGTTTCCTCTTTTTTAGAAGAGTCCCAGCTGTGTGCCCTCGAGCAAGAGGTGGCACCTTTCTGGGCCTCAATGTCCCCTGCTGGGATGGGGACGGTGCTAGTGGGTCGCAGAGACCTAGTTACACAGACAGGACTGAATGGGACCTGCTGCTCCTGGGAGCTGGCGTGCAGAGCAGGGCCTCCAAGTGTGGGGCTGAGGAAGAGCTACTCTCCAGGCCTCATCTGGGGGGCAGGTCTCCCCGTTTCTTCCAAGTCCGCCGTCATGCCTGCTGTCCGACCCTCCACCCTCTGCGCCTGGTCACTCGCCTTTCTAATCGTGACCTTTGTCTTTCTCTCCCCATTGTCTCTCCCATCTCTCTCTCTCCATCTTTCCCCGTCTCTCTCGTTCTCCCCCGTCTCTCCACCTCTCCCCCCCTCGTCTCTCCACCTCTCCCCCCCGTCTCTCCACCTCTCCCCCCCGTCTCTCCACCTCTCCCCCCCGTCTCTCC